ATACTGGGAAGGAACAAGAAGCTAAATAAGAAGGTGAACCCAAAGAAAAACATATAGTTATCCTCCTGGATATTGGGAGTAGACAAGATTGCCGGGCAAAAAACTGGGATCTTGGGAGTGGGGTGGGATGGGGGTAAAGGGAGATGGGGAGAGAAAAGTGAGAAGGGGAGGATGGGGGGTACTTGGGGGAATGGGATGGTTGGTATACAGGAAGGGTGGATATGGGAGCAGGGAAGTATATATCTTAATTAAGGGAGGGATCTTAGGGTTGGCAAGAGACTTGAACTAAAGGGGCTCCCAGGTGCCCAGGGAAATGTCCCCCGATTAGTTCCTTGGGCAGCTGAGGATAGGGAACCTGAAATGGCCCTATCCTATAGCCATACTGATGAATATCTTGCATATCACCATAGAACCTTCTTCTGGCGATGGATGGAGATAGACACAGAGACCCACATTGGAGCACCGGAATGAGCTCCCAAGGTCCCAATGAGGAGCAGAAGGAGGGAGAACATGAGCAAGGAAGTCAGGACCACGAGAAGTGCACCCACCCACTGAGACAGTGGGGCTGATCTATTGGGAGCTCACCAAGGCCAGCTGGACTGGGACTGAAAAAGCATGGGATAAAACCGGACTCTCTGAACATGGTGGACAATGAGGGCTGATGAAAAGCCAAGGACGATGGCACTGGGTTTTGATCCTACTGCATGTACTGGCTTTGTGGGAGCCTAGCCAGTTTGGATGCTCACCTTCCTAGACCTGGATGGATGGGGGAGACCTTGGACTTCCCACAGGGCAGGGAACCCTGACTGCTCTTCAGACTGGAGAGGGAGGGGGAGAGAAGTGGGGGGACTGGGAGGGAAATGGAAGGCTGGGAGGAGGCAGAAATGTTTTTTTCCCATAAAGAAATAAATAAATAAAAAGAAAATGTAACACCCGATTTTGTGTTACACCCTCGGTACAGTTCGCGAGCCACTGTACCGAACGCGAGTCCAGCAAGAGCATGGAGATTGAAAAGAACAACACACAGAGACCAGTGTCATTCAAAGGAAGATCAGCCAAATGCCATTTATTCAGACTTGGGGAAATCTTTATGTTCCTAACTACTGCACAAGCATCTCTGCCCAGGCAGGTGGGAAATGACCATATTAACAAAGGAGTAAATGCCCTGCAGCTAATCACCAGGCAGGGCAGGGAGAGCACAGAAACACACAGGAAGCTTAGTTAGCTGATCATAAACTGTCCCCAGGAATGCACCCCAGGAATAGGGGGACCAGGACCCTACAAGAAAAGCCAAAACAAAAAGAAAAATAATAAAAGAAAAAAGAAAAGAAAAAAAAAAGAATAGGACCAAACTAGTCCCTCTGAAAGTTGTTGACAGTTGCATGGCTGGGGCAGACTGAGGGGCCACTGACAATAGCACCAGAATTTATCCCTACTGCTTGGGCTGGCTTTTTGGGAACCCATTCTCTTTGGATGTATACCTTGCTCAGCCTAGATATAGTAGGGAGGGCCTTGGACTTTCCACAAACCAATGTGCATTACCCTCTCTGAGGATTGGATAAGGGTTGTGTGAGAGGATGTGAGGAGGGACTGGGAGAAGGGAAGAAGTGGTAACTTGGATTGGTAATTTTTTAAAACATAATCAATTAAAAACCATTCAGAGTAGCTGAGTCTAGGCAGCACAACAGCAACAAGAGACTGAAAAGGGGAACAGTTGTATCCATGCCCACCTTCAGCCATTAGGTTGCCTGTTCCTACCAGCAGCATCCAAATAAAAGCATCTTCATGATACTCAGTGGACCACTGATCTGGAAGATCAAAGTGGCATCACCCATGAGTGTAATGATGATGGGTCAGGCTGGTCCAAGAGTAAAAACATACAAAGAAGGGATGAAAGAATACGAGAGAGTTGTCAGTCCAGCATGGGCCAGCACAGAATAAGGAAGGACTGTAGGAGAAGCTGTTCTTCCTTTTGGAGACTACAGCTCCCAGCATCCCCCTGGACTGGAAGCCCCAAAGGCACAGGGCATTTCTCCCAGACGCCTGTGAGTTCCCCGTTAAAAACAGGGGTCACCACGAGCTCTCTCTCTCTCTCTCTCTCTCTCTCTCTCTCTCTCTCTGCCCTTCTCTCCTTTCATCTCTGCAAACCTGTCCCTTACTTGTTGTTACCCCCCCCATTAAAGTGCAGCCACGTGGGACCCCAGCGTGTCTGTGTCTCCTTCCTAACCCCAAATCGCCCTGTGTCTCGCGTAATGTCTCCACTCTCTAACCCCACAGACAGACAAACAAGACAAAAAAGAATAACAGAAGCAACAAGAAGACAAGTGTCTTAGAGTTCATCAACATGCACGCAGCACACTGAGCCCTGACCTTGCACATAGTCACAAAGGAACACTTTGATCTCTTCCTTGGGTCATGGACAGATGCTGATGGCACAAAAGCCAGACGGACTGGAATGGCGTATCACCTGAGTTCCCTCAACAGCAGTTCTCCCTCCTGCCCAAGACTACTCACTGTATGTAAGTGTAGGCTGATGGGACACTTTCTGTTGGAAGGTGACCCATCATGTGTACATTACACACCGCTTCATCAGTGAACCTTATGAGAGCACTGCCATGATAGCCTAGGCTAAACGCCATGGGAAGTGGCACGTCCATGCCATGATTGCCTCTTTCACTAGCCCACACCTCAGCCTCCATGGCTACTGTTGGTCTCCTGGCATCTTCTCCAACCAATCCCATCTTCTAGTTAGGAATCGAACCTTCCCATTGGCTGTTGCCTCATTTATGACATCATTCTCCCTCCAACCCTACCAGCACCTGGTAGAATCTTGGTGTTTCCATGGTGATGACTGTAAACAACTTTGGATCATCACAGGTCCAGGTGACCAGTGACCAGTGAGTGCTGTCTGATACTGGACACACTTGCCACTGAGGTCAGCTGATCAGAAAAAGCCAACCGATAATCTTGCTCCATTGTACTTTGGATTGCTGATCCTCTCCCCTTGACCATGTCAGGTAAGGATAGAGACTTTAAAACATGTGATCTTCTCCATTGACTTTTACTATACTAGTAAATCTTTGCTGAATGTGGATAGTATTGATGTTGATATAGATATCTAGATTTGAATGTCACATTTAGCTTTGGTTCTTACTAAGTAGGTGATTTTAGACAAAAAGTTTATTCTCAAGTGTTTTCCATCCGCCTCAAGGAGTGAACAGTGTCACTATGCTTGGGTCCTGTACTGTTGGGTTTTCAGAAGAAAGTGAAGAGGGAATAAAATCAGGCTCTTTTGGATGGTATTAAACTACAGAGACACGGGAACATGAACAAGGCACGCAGAGATCTAGCACTCCACACCACTAATGAGACAGTCTCCCCCCACTACTGTTTCCAGTCTTAGTTTAAAATTCAGGACGACTCTAACAGTATTGGTCACACCACAGATGGTGGCACACAACTATAATCACAACACAGAGAGAACTGGGTGGGATGGAGATCAGTTCAAGTCTGACATGCTCTACACTGGCCTCTCTCCATACTCACCAAATGAATATTGACTATGGACAAAATGGCGACTGCCATGTTGTGCAGTCACTTGGACTTCCCTGGATTAAACATGGAGAGTGGAAGAGAATAACAGGACTGTGGAATCTGAGAAGGCAGTTGTTGTACTGAAATTAATATTGACAGTGTTGCTGGAAGGACAGACCCACAGGAAGTCAGGGAAGGGGGCAAACACAGTACGGGTCTAGAAAGTATATAAATATATGAAGGCACACTGCAGAGGGGACCCTGGTGGTCCACAATGGTAGTTTAGAACACAATGTTGAAGACGACCACAGATTATAATCAAAACAGACAAGGCATTGTCATTTCCCAAGCCATGTTTAACCAAACGTACTGTTCAGATTAGTCTGTCCAAAGGTTCCCTGGCACATATAGAAAGAATATCCTGATCTGGTCCCTGGCTCTTACACTCCATCCAGACCACTTTCTGCCCAGTTCCCCATGTCTCATGTGCACTGGTGGTGTTGGATAGGACCAACTGGGGCTGCGAAGTCCAGTCAGTTAGAGTCTGACCATGGCAACTGACACGCTGTTGTGAGGGGGGATTCTCACAAGGATTCCCCCTTAGAAGAGATATAAAAATTAACAGTTACTGAGGAGCTGTTAAGAAAACAATTTAATCAACAGATATTAAATTGAGAAGCAATCATATTCAGAGATGAACCCCATAAAACATTCGCAGTCTCAAGAGGACACACTAAACTGGTGCAAACACGAAGAAATGTTGTCAGTAGGTTGTATTTCTGAAATCATATTTGAATAATGCTTAAAAGTTATAAGATTATAAGAGATCCTCAATTATACAAGAAATGCAAGGGGAAAAAAGAGAGAGGGGGAAGGAATAATTACCGCAATTTGGTACACATTTGTTAAACATCATTTCAGAAAAAAACTCAATAAAATAGAGATTGGCCTGGTGGACATGGCAGGGGCTCCAGCACCAGCACTTTAGAGGCAGAAGCAGACCTGTCTGTGTGATTTCAAAGCCAGACTGATCAACGTAGAGTGAGTTTAGGTCACTCTATACTGTAAGATCTGCAGAGAACAGGACAAAGTTCCAGGTATGGAATATGCCTATGGGTCTCTTCCCAATAAAAACCTCTCTTGTAGAATATATTTGCGAGGAAGTGTCCCAACAGGCACTATTATATTACAATCAGGAAAAAGGAGCATCGTGTCTAGATCTGAGTGAGCATTAAGCCAGATTGACCAGGATTTCCATGCCCACACAGGAAAAAGCAGACAGTTCATCTAGTGATTGTCATCCTTCAAAGCCCCACCGATCAATCTTAACCCATTTGCTGGCATATGTAAGGGAACATAGATGCTAGACTCTCCCACTCAGTACAACCTGGAGATAACACAGTCCCTCCCAGAGGGTAGAAAGCTTCCATCTCAACTTTTTCCAACTCTCTTCTTGCTTCCTACAGAAAATTGCCAAAGTGCACCTTTCACTGGGACAGAATGTGCTCTGCAACCCTCTGTGCCTGTGCTGAGGAATGCCACACCCTCAGCAGGAACTGTGTGCAATTTCTATGGGGTCTGCACCCCAGCTGTGAGCTCAGCATGGCTCCTGTCATCAGACTCCAGCACATGCTGCCAGCAGCTCACAGACAGTGCCTGTCTTTACCAACGAGCTGGCACGACCATGCTGACTGAGCCAACTGACCAGAACCAGATCTCTACTTCGACATTTTCCTATCCAGGTGTTCTCCACTGGGATCTCAGAGAAAGCACCACCAGAAGGGAAGCTCCATTCCTGGATGCCCCTGTAACTGTCATTGACCAGAATACCACCCCCTCGTCTAGGTCTATAACAGCCCAGTGTGACAATACTTTCCATATCAATGCATTACCGCCATCCTATCCAACACTGTCTGCCTGCCTTGTAGAGGCAACGCCATCAAATCTACCAGATCAACGATATATCCTGGCACCTTGCTACCTGGATGGAAGTCAGGTCTATTACAATGACCAGAACAGCCTGGGTCCTCCGATGGCTGAAGAATTCTGGCAGTGCCTGCAGGCCTATGGCTCTGTGTCCTGCTCTGGGAATCAGGCTTCCTCTCAGCACCCAGGGATGGTGATGGCACTACAGGAGATTCAGCCAATGAACATCCAAACACCTTTCTCCACCTGTCCCATCTACTGGCCCACATCTGCTCAAACCATGCCAGACACCAGTCTTCAAGGTGAGTAAAGCCAGGAAGGGAGGTGTGAGATCAGCCCTCAGAGGAGACACAGCTCTACCTTTCAGAAGTGGATGTCCACACAGAGGAAGAATGGGAGTCCTGACATGTAGGCTATTGCTCAGGCTCATTACCCCTAAATTCAGTCTCTATAATGAGAGAGAATACAGGAAAGTGAGTGATATTAAACCTTCATTAAGACATGTCCAAGGACCACACCACAGGAACGCATTTCACTGCCAAGGCTAATCAGGCCCATGTAGCAGCTCACTAAAATCACCTCCTTCCTAATCTATGTCTCCAGATTCTAGATGACATCGAGAATTTTATCTGTTTTTCTACAACTAAGTTTCCCCTGAGTTGAAACTAGTATCCAGAGAAATGGAACCCTGAATCTGTAGTGGAGGAAGTCTTCTCCCACACTCCAAGTGTCCGCTGTGACAGTCTGCCTTGACCTTTGTAATATTGATAAGCAGGGTTGAAGCATCTCACCCTATCTGTCATGATCAACCTCTCTCTTTTTCTCTGTCTCTTTTCCTCCTCTACATTTCTCTTCCACTTTCTCTTTTTCTTTTACTCTTTCTTTCTGAATCTTCAGCAGTGACCCAAGGCCAAGACTATGTAGACATGTTCTCTGTTACAAAGTTGATGCTCAAAGCTTTCGCAGTCTTACATTTTGACATCACTAACAAAAATTCTGTGAAACGTGAACCTTAAGGAATGTCAGGGCTTTTGAACCGCTTGCCTTTCAGAATTGAGGAACTGATATGGATACCTAAACCCAAATAAAAATCCAGGCTTCAGGGGCCATATGAGTAATACAATGAACAGAAAGAAACTGGTGGAGATGAGTAAGATTAGGAAACAGTGAGCAACACAACCTGTCTCAGAGCAAACTCCCAAGGCAATGAGAGGCACTGTTTCAAAGGAAAATGGGGGAGAAAGGGAAGAGCGCACACCAAGGAATTCTGTCACCTCCCCATGATCACTAAGCATGTACACACCACACAAACACAAGAGAAAACGTGATCTCACACGGTCATGAGAAACAAATGAGTAGTTACTATGTGTCTCCAAAGAGGGCTGCTTTCCCTGCTCCTCCAGCAGAGCTCATAGCAATGCCTGCAACACTGCTGCACGAGCCTCAGTGCTCAGGTACACTGAAAGCGGGGGTAGCATCTCACTTACCAGGCACTGACTTCGAACTTCCTCTTTTTCAGTGGTGGAGAGGGAGACAACCCTGGGGTTGACACCTTCAGGGCAGACACTGTGTCTGCTGCAGAGTCCAGACCTCGGCAATGCCTGCACCCAGGATGCCCAGATGAAGACAGCACCTGTCAGTGGGAACAGGTCATTAATTGCCCTCATGCACAGTCCTTCTGAATTCCTGGCCTTGCCTCCAGCCCCAAGCCTGGAAAAGACACAGAAGAACAATGCAGATGAGATGAATGCTGAGCAATCAACACCTCTGGATTCCTATGAGGGCACAAAATGTAACCAAGACGCATCACCCCTCCCTTCAGCATACCCTGGCATGCAGCAGCCCTTGAACTACAGTGATGTTGGGAGCCTGAGGCAGAAGCTAGCTTCTCAAAATGCCACTTTGGGAAACAGTAGCCTTGGTCTGGAAGACCCTGAGGCTCTGCAGAGTGTCATGGAGTCTAGCAATGACTTTGCAGACATGACTACTCTGGTGGCAGATATTCACCTTCCCCAACTCTTAAACTTCAACACTGGCCTTGACCAAATGGAAGATCACACAGCAAGCCAAACCAAAGACTCCAAAGACATCAGGAGGGACCAGGCCCAGTCACGCACCAGCATCTTTAGTGGACTATCTGAACTGGGCATCAAGAAAAACCAGAAAGTCTCTGATGTGTTTCATGGAGCTCTTCAGGCCAGAACCCATCACGAGGATATGCTGAAGGAAGATGATCCTGGAACCATAGACAACACGGCCAACCACGTGCAGGGCAAATCTCAGATATTTGTACCCAAGAGGCCCAGCGTAGCAAGGGCACAGGGGAAAGAAAAGGCCAAGGACACCAGAGGAAACAGCTCCAAGAAAACAGAGGAGCTGAAGCCATCAAGTCACAGAGTCAAGGCAGAAGAGAAGCCCGCCATCCCAAAGACCAAGAGGAAGAGGAATCCACCTGAGCTCAGCCATGACAGCTTTAAGAAGCCTCGAACTCACCTCGGCATGCACATGCTGGCGTCTGTGCAGGTCTTTCACCCACTGGGGAAGAAGAGTGAGAGGAAAACTGGCGTCTCCTCCTCCCGGGCTCTGCTGAACTTGAGCAGCAACAAAGATCCCAGGACAGGCCCAACCGCCACATCCCTGGGAGATGCGCCCCGTGAGGGTCGAGGCCCTGGTAGAATCCCGGGCAATGCTCAGAGAACAGAGAGCAGTGCTCCCAAGCGGTGTCCATCTCTGTGCCTGGATGAGCTGTCCCCAGCTGGGAAGGTCAAATTAGTACCTCTGCCTTTCCTAGCCCTGGACAAGCCTCAAGACAGACCTGTTTCCAGAAAGCTTCACTGCCTGGCTTCGCACAGGCCCACTACAGCTTACCCAGTGAGGTCTCAATCCCACACTGCTAGGCAACCCAAACTCAAGTCATCCCAACCAGCTCCTGCCAGCACATCACTGATGGCCTCTGACAAGTCGGCTCTGCCAGTTGCCACCAGTGCCACACGTCCAATTAGAAGCAAGCCCATCCAGTCTTGCCCTGGGCCTCAACCGCCTGCCTCTTTGCCTGCACCCTACAGAGCATCATCTCACACTTCACTCCACAGGGAGCCTCTTTCTTTTGCCACAAACAAGACCCTAGATCCTCCCCAGCCTCAATCCCAATACCTGCGGCAAGATTTCAGCCACTTACCAATTCCTTGGAAGAAAGTCAACATTCCGGGACCAGTCATCTCACAGCCTATCACTGAAGAGCAGAGGCCAGAGAGGGAGGCCATGAAGAGGCGGGCTCAACAGGAGAGAGAGAATGCTGCCAAGTGTACCTCTCTGGGAAAACCACAGCTTTTCCTTCAGAGGGAGAAAGATATGGAAATTTCGAGATATTATGGCTATGCAGTGTAAGTGCTGCCCAAACCTTTGGGACACAACGCTATTCATCACACACAGGTAAGATGTAGATACACATAGATATTCATGCATACATGAAGTTTAGAGGCTTAGCTGAATGTGTAGATATGTAGATACATACATAGTAATGCAGAATAATATTTAGATGTATGCATATATTTGAAGGGAAAGACATAGTTTATAAATTTATAAATATTTGAAGACACTATAATTGACTGTAGAAACTTAAGACTGCGATTTTATCCATGAGTATATAGAGAGGGCTTTGATGTCTTCCTTAGAACTTTACTATTTATGTTTCCTAATTACGTAATAATACATGTGACATAGATACAACATATGCTATAAGTCAGTGGTACTACTTATTTAATGTTATAGCTGTAGCAAAAAGCTCTAGTGGCAATAAGATTATTTTCCTGGAATTTAATTTTCAAGATTCTAGGATGATGTGGGAGTCCCCTCTGTATGCTGTGAATATGTTTTATTACCACTGGTCATTAATGAGTAAATCTGTTTCAGCCAATGACTGAGCAGGTCAAAGCCATGTAGGAAATTTGAACTGAGATGTAGAGAGAAAGCAGGCAAACTCAAAGAGATGCCATGTAGCTGCCGAAGGAGAAAGATGCCTCAATGCCCGAACATTGCCAATAGGTCACAGACTCACGGTGATAACAGGTTAATATTACTTGGCTTTATTAAGATGTTAGAGTTAGCCAGGAATATGCTGGGGTCATTGGCCGAACAGTACTGTAATTAATGTGATTTCTGTCTGATTATTCACGTCAGAGTTACTGAACATGGTAAGTTTCCTAGAGTGCATACTGTAAAGTGAACACACTACTGCTGTCGCCACATCTCCTCCCGTTTCAAACCTCAAACACGAGCCCTTTAGACATCAGTACTCTGCCTGCATTTCATGATATGAAACATAGGGTCCATGTGTGCATAATCAAGATCCTACCTTGAAAGAAATTCTACAAGGCGGAGTATCTTTCTGAGATGGGTTGATTTGGATTACTGGGTTTATCTCAAATTGTATCAATCTTTGAAATTATCCATTTAACATGTTTGTTTTTCGTGTGTGTGTGTGTGTGTGTGTGTGTGTGTGTGTGTTGTCCACATGAACTACTGCGTAACAAATGTATGGAGTGCCCAGAGAGGCCAAACCTGGGCATCAGTTCTCTGGAGTCTGTAATTAAGAGAGACTGAAAACCATCATGAGGTGCTCTGAATTCTACCTGGGGATTCTGCGAGAAAATCAAGTGTTCTTCTCTAAGGAGCCATCTCATCGAACCCGAGTTGAGTACACATAATGGACTGACATTTGATCGCCTGATATTTTCCTCCATCCTGACCTGTCCCTGAATCTTAACCTCCTTGCACTATTCTGTGCTCTAACTGTTTCAGAGTTTGTAACACATTGTCCTCTGAGGCATATGGCATTAACCTTGTATGGGGTGACACATAAGAAATAGAATTAATTTATATATAAGTTTAGTTTCTTGAGACAATGTTTCTCTTCATATCACTGAATATTTGGGAACTGACCTCGCTAATCAGGCTAGCCTTGAAATCACAAAGATCTGCCTGACACTGCCTTTGTAATGCCTTTGCCTGTGTCCCTGCCTCAAGAGTGCTGGGACTAAAGGAATGCACCAAAATCCCAGGTGAAAGCACCTTCCTTTCTGTATATGTGGGTCACCGATTTCCCCACCATGATTATGTGAGGATGTATGTTAGCAACAGTACATTTTTGATAGCTACCAAAAGTCACAGAGGCTGAACTGCTTGCGCTTACAACTGTAATTCAACACAGGTTCATTGTTCTGAAAAATTGCTACTCAAACAGAGATCATAGGAACGCCTTCCCCATCACTATAAGGGCCTAAGTGGAGAGGGCACAGAAGGAGGGGAGCATCTCACTTACCAGTCACTAACTTCTTCCTTGACTCTTTTTCAGTGTTGGAGAAGGGGGTGTCCCTGGGACTGACACCTCAGGACAGACAGTCCATCAGTTGCAGTCCACAATGTTGCTAGTATTCCACCCTGGATTCACAGATGAGGATGCCACCTGTTGATAGGGACAGGTCATTGACTGCCCCTATCCAAAGGTCTCCCAAATTCCTGGCCTTGCCAACAGCTCTCATCCTAGGCGGAAAAAAAAGAAAACAATGTGAATTAGACGACAGCCAATCTATCAATGCTTAAGGATCCCTTAAAGGCACACAGGAAACCTAGTCCCATCACTTCTCCCTTTAGCACACCCCAACTTGCAGCACACGCTGTGCTTTACTGACACTAACACCCTGAGGCAGAAGCTTGCTGTTGACCATGTCTCCTTGCTAAGCAGCACCTTTGGCCATCATGAGCCTGGCACATGCACACTGTGATGGTCTCCAGCATAGACTTTGCTGACATGACTACACCGGGGCCAGATATTCACCTTCCACAATTTTTCAAATAACTCAATGTATTAAACATATTCAGAGATGCACAGCATCCTTATCCAAAGACTCCATAGTCATCAGGAGGGAATAAGCTGGGGCTCATGAGCAAGACAAAACCAAGAGGACCAGAGAAAACAGCTTCAAGAAAACAGAGGAGCTGAAGCAGTTTAGGAAGAGTCAAGTCAGAAGAGAAGCACACCATCCCAGGAACAAAAGGAGGAGGAATCCACCTGTGCTCAGCCACCACAGCTTTAAGAAGCCTCGAACCCACCCCAGCATGCACACGCGGGAGTCCGGTAAGGGCTTTCACCTCTTTGGGGGGAAGTGAGAGAAGAAAACTGGCCTCCCCTGAACTCTGTCAACTCTTCCTGCTACTCTGTACACTATTATTACAAGAGTTTATTGAATTTTGATCTCTGGGGAAGTGGCATTGGATATTCGCAGGGTGACCTTTATTCACTTTCTTTTAGTTCCTTGAGAGAGACTTCTCTCCAAAGCACTATATGTCCTGGTAATAACATCATAGACCAGGTTAGCCTTGAACTCAGTGATCTGCTAGACTCTGCCTCTGCCGCTTCCTCTGTCTTTTGAGTCCCTGCCTCAAGAGTGCTGCAACTAAAGATGTGCTTCAACAATGCAGGTAGAATCAAGATTCTTTCTGTACATGTGGATCACCAGGTTTCCCAGCATGATTTGATGAAGAGTCCATGTGTAGGCAAGGCGATTCTTGCTACTGACCTAAAATCACAAGAGACTTAACTGAATGTATTGACTTAGCTGTATGTATTTACAACTGCAACTCAACTCAGATTCTTTTTTCTGACAGTACCTTTGTTTCACTTGTTGGCTGGACTTCTGACAATGCCTATCTACTTCCAGATAGTACAACATCTGGATTTGACTCAAGGAATGTATTCAACCTGTCCCTAGATATTTATGGTGTTTGTATTTTCTCAATAGGTAATCCCCAGCTACTGTGTAGACACAATACTGTCCATTCAAACAAAGCCTATTTGCTGTCCAGAGTCACTGGTCTAGATAAATATAACACAGCCAGCCGGAAAGGATCCCACAACCTGTATCCAAGCAACCTGACAGGGGCACGATTGACTACAAGAGAATGAAGGAAAGCAATAGTTTAGGGAGGTCTCTTGTTTGATCACTCTCTCTGTGTTTTTTAACTACAGAATTTGGGACTCCGTGATTCTACTGGGCTTCACTGTACTCCTCAGAAAAACAGAAAGGCATTTGAATGGATATACATTCATGTTAAGATGATTATTTTAATCTTTATGTTTTCAAATTAAGTGTCTGGTAGAATAACACTTGTTGAACAAAGCTCAGGAATTATTTTACATATTAAAGCAATTAACAAAAAGATGTACTGAATTCTTCTCATGGACTTTAAGTCTCATTGTACTATTTATTCAATGAACAGATTTTATTCCGTATATTGTATACTGACAACAGCACTCAGTTCCCACCACCTGGCCATTCCTTAGCTCTCACCAAATATCTTAGGCAATGTTCTTCTGCTTTATACTACTGCTTAAAATTTCATGAATGTCTATATGTAGAGATGTGTCACCAAGGATCCACATAGTGAGACAGGATAAGAAGATGTTTCTGTGGGACTGGATACATTTGGTACAATATAATTATCTCGAGTTCCAAGGATTCTCCTGCAATCACCTTGACTGCATTCATTGTTTTTACTGTAACCAGTTCCACTGTGTGCAGACGTCACGTATTTCTTATCATTTGCTCTGCTACTGGACACCAAGTTCAGGCCCTAACACAGGTATCCGAATCCTGAACAAACTGCAATGTACAGCAATGTGCAGAGAAATAACCCATCCAACGCCTTGGAACAGCATGGACAGGAGGAGTGGTAGACCTGGTTTGGTGTTTAAAGACACTGTATACTGAAATACACAGAGGGTACAATACTTCACATTACACCCACCAACTGATCTCCTGCTCCTACGGAAGCAATACTTGCAAGTCCCCAACTTTCAGATAACTCTCCACTTCTTTTTTTCTGTACCATCTAGAAAGATCAAGTCCAACTGATCTTAGCTAAAATATCTCGATGGGATAGTCATTTTATTCTAGGGTAAAACACCAGGCTACACTACTCTACCTGACTGCATTAGCTCTTACACTGCATTCCTGCTTGCATGACAGCCCCTGATATTTGGATGGACTGCATTGTACATGATCCATTTTGGCATAAGAGGCAATCATCTCACCACAACAGCAGCCACAGCCACTGAGTATCAGCAGCCAAAACTTTTACAGTTTTTCCATCAGCACCAAAAGCACACAGAAAAGGAAGTCGAGAAAGGAGACAGACTGGAGCAGTTCCATCAACACTTGCAGCTACACTAATCTCACGCAGAAGCACAAAGGTTTAGAAGGGAAATACAAAGGCCCATCCATTCCCTTCAATAAAGCAGTAGGAGTTCCCTTCCCACTGTGACCTGTGATCCTCTGAGTCACAGGAGATTCTGTTGTGCATCACGGTACAACATAAAAATTCCCTTC